ACTCGAAAGGTCTCACTGCTGCCATCTGGACACCAGACAGGGAGGCGAGTCCAGACCACGCTGGAGGGAGGCACCAGACGTGTAACTATCCCCCGAGCTTTTCTTTCCTACCTCTTCTCTGCTTCCCGACCCCTAAGCAGCACACATGTCAAATCTCAGCAGGGTCTCCTCCTTCCCGAGCAGCGCAAGCTGCAGCTTGGCCGGCTTAGCCCCCCTCAGGGGATCGCCAGTCAGTACCAGCCTCAACAACGTATACGCCGCCTTCGTCGCCTTGACCTTCTTCGTCGTCCCGTCGTCCTTGGTCACCTCGGTGGCGTGCCGCTCGCTGAAGTCGTTGATGACCTGCTGCAGCTTCGCGGCGCCCCACTCGGCGACCGGCACGGCCTCGAACGACGCGCGCAGGTCCGCGAGCAGCGCCTCCGGGCTGGCGGCGCCGGCGTAGTCCTTGAGGTCGTCCAGCTTGGAGAGGGAGCGCGAGAAGGTGTGCCGCGCGTAGGCGGTCGCGCTGGGTCGGAAGAAGAGCGAGGGGTGCTCGTAGATGAGGTCGAGCGGGTCGACGGGGGAGTCGGCGGCGAGGGCGCGGTTGACGCGTAGGATGTGGGCGGGCGCCGTGGCCGGGTCGGCGAGGACGGGGGTCAGGCCAGAGAAGTCCGTCGTCGAGAAGGCGTGGCGGTGGTTGGCTGGGTTGGTGAGGTACTCCTCCTTCTTGGCGGCGAGGAGGTCGGAGATGGAGGCGAGGAGCCTGGTCGACACGGGGACGATGGTGCGGCGGAGGAGGGCCTCGTCGGCCGGGTCCTCGCGCAGGCGGTGGGTGAGATGCTTGCGCTGGATGACGGCGAGCTTGTCCGGGTTCGTCTTGATGTTGCCCTTTGTGAAGCGGAGGGAGAACTTCTCGGCGAGGGCCTGGGTGGTGTAGATGACCTCGCCGTCCTTCTTGGCCAGGTCCTTCTCGCTCATGCTCCAGCCGAGGAGGGCAAGCCAGTTGTTGAGGGCGGAGGGGAGGACGCCCCTGTCGCGGTAGGAGGAGATGTCGATGTCGTGGTTGCGCTTGCTCAGCTTCTCGCCGTTCTGGGCGCAGAGGAGGCCGGCGTGGGCGAAGGTGGGCGGGGTCCAGTTGAAGGCGTCGTAGAGGGCGATGTGCTTGGGCGTGGAGATGAGCCACTCGGCGCCGCGGATGACGTGGGTGATATTCATGAGGTGGTCGTCGACGACGTTGGCGAAGTGGTAGGTCGGGTAGCCGTCCGTCTTGATGAGGATGAAGTCGTCCTCGTCCTCGCTCTTTTGGTAGTTGCCGTAGACGCTGTCGATGAAGGAGGGGCGGCGGCCCTGGGCGTTGAAGCGGACGACGTGGGGTTCGCCGGCGGCGGCGCGGCGTTCGGCCTCGGGGACGGGGATGGTGCGGCAGGTTCCTGGGTAGTGGGCGGTGCCGCCGCCCTCGAGGGACTGTTGCTTGTGGCGCTCGAGGTCGTGGGATGAGCAGAAGCAGCGGTAGGCGTGGCCGTTTTCGAGAAGCTGGGAGATGTTGTGTTTGTAGTGATCCAGACGTAGTGACTGTGGGATGTTAGGCGTGTATAGAAGGAGGATGAAGGGGTGAGGCTTACTTGTTGGTAAGGACCGAACTTGCCGCCGACGTCAGGACCTTCGTCCCAGTCCAGCTCTGCCCATTTCAGATCTGCAAGAAGACGAAGTGTGGCATCCTCGACGATTCGTGTCTGGTATGTTGTGAGTCCTGGGCCCTCCTATGAACAATGACATGCATGAGCCGTCCTCACCCGATCCGTATCTTCAACACGGATGATGAACTGTCCTCCCGTGGCCCGCGCAATGAGCCAATTGAACAAGGCGGTTCTTAATGAGCCTAGATGGAGGTATCCGGTTGGTGAAGGAGCAAAGCGTGTCCTGGCAGGCTTGGTCGGTAGGTCTCTCAGCTTTCCATCGGCCAGGGACGGAAGCTTCTTCCTCAGGGCCTCAAATCCGCCCGTCTTCTTGGCAGAAGAGTGCCATCTCGGTGAGCTTGCGCGACACTGTTGGCAGGTGTATGCTGATCGTTGGAGTATTGACCTGCTATGCGGCCGCAGGGCTATTGTTGACATGTTGAAAACATGAGAATGGCGCCCTCTTGAGATTCACCAATATCCTTCATGAGTGAGCTGACCTTGGGTGAAATTTGACGATGAGCTTCAGCCACATGTGGCGCAAAAGTAGATATGTACAAAGCGAGGTACCGACTTACACACCACAGCAGGTCGCTGGCGGCGTCGTAAATCACCAACAACCCTGCACACTGGTACATTCAGAGCGATACAACGCAATGCCCGGTGGTCATACGGCAGTTCCTTGATCTATCCAAGCCAACCAGATTCTTAAACGTTTTGGGTTTCCCAAGATTCAGATGACACTAGTCATACGAATGTCAAACCCTGACCTCTCACTTCAAGCTGGCCAAGGTTTCGACCACCTTCTGGCAGTTGTCCAATTTTGTCTTCCAGATTCTTTCTCGGTATCCTCGGGGTTGGTCTTACGACTGCGTTCGGTTGCCTGTGAAAGTCGAAGATGCGCTGCACAGATTCGTCTGTACAGCGGACCTCCGTACAGGCGTGCTGCTCGGTGCTTTGCCTCAACTCGGTACGCCTGCAATTGCCAATGGGGCAGCAGTCTACTACTCCATATTCTTGCTCACTCGTTTTCAACATCGATATCGTGATTCGTCCATTATAAAAAGTGCATGGAAACCCGTGGTTGGGATACAAGGAATTCGGACACCGCCTGGATGAATGATGAGCAGCTGCAGTGCAGGCGGGGTGCCCTGGGTTGGAGACTGGTCGCACCAGGTACCTACAGGCTACGGATAACAGGCCGCGCCCAGCTTACCTGATATCATCTGCCGCGCACTCGCTACCTGGACAGGCTGTAGGGACCGCGCGCCCCGTAAGGCACTCCATGGATGCTGGCAAAGTACCCCGCCAAACCACCAGCTGCAAACTGGTACTCTAGACAAATATTTTTCAGGCCGACTCCACATCCCACCTTTTCCACATCACCAAACCAAACCGCCGAAGGTTGAACATCTCGAGCGAAACATTTGCCGAGTACACCTTCAGAAAATTCTCCATCATGGACAGTGGTGGACCAAGTGCCGGTGCTGATGCCGGGGCGGAGGAGATCGATCTCTACGGTAAGCATCTGAATTGTCTATGGAGCCCTTTGGGAGATACCTTTTTTTTGGTCGCGGTGGATCACGTCTGACGCATTTTACCAGAGCTGCTCGAAATCGATAAGGATGCGTCGCAGGACCAGATCAAGAAGGCATACCGAAAGGTTCTTGGCTACACCCTACCTCGCGATCACAGCCAACGTTGAACTAACTCGAACCCTCCCATCAGGCTGCCCTGCAACATCACCCCGACAAGGTCCCTGAGGATCGCAGAGAAGAGTCCGAAGCCAAGTTCAAGGCCGTCAGCCAGGCCTACGAGATCTTGAAGGATGAGGAGAAGCGCCATCTCTACGATACCCACGGCATGGCCGCCTTCGACCCCTCCCGCGGCGGCGGCGGTCCCGGCGGCGTCGAGGTCGACTTGAACGATATCCTGTCACAAATGTTCGGTTTCGGTATGGGCGGTCCTGGCGGTCCCGGCGGCGCTGGCCCCAGGCGGCCTCGTCGCGGTCCCGACGAGGACCAGCCGTACAAGGTCACGCTCGAGGAGCTCTACAAGGGCAAGACGGTCAAGTTCTCTGCCAACAAGCAGGTCGTCTGCGGCACCTGCAAAGGATCCGGCGCCAAGGCGAACGTTAAGCCCCAACAGTGCGACAAGTGCAGAGGCGCCGGTATGGCCGAGGCCTTCCGTCAGATCGGACCCGGCCTGGTGCGCAAGGAGACGGTTATCTGCGACCGCTGCGAGGGCTCTGGCAACTTCTGCAAGGAGAAGGATCGTTGCAAGAAGTGCAAGGGCAAGCGGACGACATCTGAGACCAAGGTGCTCGAGATCTACATTCCCAGAGGTTCCCAGAACGGCGAGAGGATCGTGCTTGAGGGAGAGGCCGACCAGCTCCCCGACCAGACTCCTGGAGACATTGTGTTCCACCTGCAGGAGGAGCCTCACGACGACTTCACCCGCATCGGCAACGACTTGTCTGCTGAGCTGACCGTCACACTGGCCGAGGCGCTTGGCGGCTTCTCCAGGACTGTGCTGACGCACTTGGATGGTCGCGGTATCCACCTCGAGCGTGAACGCGGCAACATCCTTCGCCCTGGCGACATTCTGAAGGTGCCCGGAGAGGGTATGCCGCACAAGAGAGGTGACGCCAGGGGCGACCTGTACCTGATTGTCAATGTCGAGTTCCCCGAGGACGGCTGGTTGAAGGAGGACAAGGAGTACGATGCTCTGAACAAGCTGCTCCCGCCCCCTCCTCCCGAGATCAAGGCGGACGAAGTTGACGAGGTCGAGTACGAGGAGGTTGACAGCCTGGACCAAGTAAGTTTGAATCGTTCCTATGATGCTGGCAACACGCGCTAACAGAGTGTCTTTAGATGGGCGGAAACGCCGGCGGACCAGGATTCGGAGGCGAGTGGGAGGACGAGGACGAGGAGGATGGCCAGCCCCAGTGCCAGCCGCAGTAAGACGGCAACATATAGAGACTTTTAGAGGACAGAGTCTTGGGGCACGATGCCCTACGTTTCATGACAGACATGATGACAACCCCGGATGGTGAAGGGTGAAGCATAGACACGGGATCTGGAGAGGAGTTTTGTAGCTTGTTGTTAGCTTGGGCATCATCCCCCTTCATGAATGAACGGTGCCCCACGGATCACGGGTACCATGTCTTTTCTCAACCTTGATGGCGTCCATCTGCCATGTATGCCGGCGGCGACTCAAACAAACGATGGATGTGCCCCGTTGCCACTCTTTACCAAAGCTCACATCAAAGGGGTATAGGCATCTTGGCTTCCACCTTTCGCATCCAACGCTCCAGAGCTGCATGCGGCTGAGTTTAGTTCCTCGTCCCATTTAGTGTAGTGGTTAGCATACCTCGCTTTCATTCTATATGAATCACCGAGGAGACACGAGTTCGAACCTCGTAGTGGGAACTTCATTTTTGCCCTTCGCCAACCTTGTTAGCCTTGAGAACCTCTGACTTTCCTGCCTGTGTGGGCGACTACATTCCTGCATACTGGGTGGCTTTAATGAGGAGGACGGCGACAGACGACGACGACGACGACGACGACGACGACGAACGACGATAGACGGCAATAATAGATAGCGACAACAGGAGTAACAATAACAGTAGTGACGACATCAGTAACGACAGCAGCAACAACAGTATTAATGACGGTAGCAACGATAGCAGCAACAATAATAGCGACTTTATTAGCAACGACGATAGCGAGCACGTAGGAAAATTAGTCGCTCTAGCACAGGAAAAGGGGGGTCTGTTTTGCCGCGACATTGACCAGTGTCTATGATGCGGCGAGTTGAGTCGAACTGGCTTCGCAGCAGAGCACCATTTTTAGTGCGGTGCTTCGGTGAGCGTAGCGGGGTCAAGGTGAGCGGGTTGGTGTGGCTCCCCTCCGTTCCACAAGTGATGGGATCCATTGGCCATCCAATGGCCCGTGCATCGCTTTTCTCACGTGACGTGGACAGTCCGTAGGGCTCGAGAATTTTGGCACGCACTCGAATTCGGCGGTCGTTCAGCGCTCCAACTGGCAAAAAAAAATCCGAATCTCGCACATCCGCTCGACGACCACCACCCCGACTAACCACAGCCAGGAACAACCGTCAAGGTGAGAATCGAGTCGCCCTGCTCTCCTGTCGACGATTGAAATCATCGTCGCTGTCGTAATTCCATACTGACATTTTTTCTCGTTCAAGATGGTCGCCGCAAAGAAGCACGTCCCTATCGTGAAGAAGCGTATGTCCTTCCTTCTCCCAGAACGCAACCAGCCCACCCGATACACCCGCGACGAGAACACAACGCGACAATGAAGACCGTTACGCGAACCACATGCGAGACCTTTGGATTGGAACGAAACGATTGACGGATGTTTGTGAATAGGCACGAAGCTCTTCAACCGCCACCAGAGCGACCGCTTTATGCGCGTTGACCGATCATGGCGCAAGCCCAAGGGTATTGACAACCGTGTTCGCCGTCGCTTCCGTGGCAACATGGTCATGCCCTCGGTACGTTCAGCACCCATCCCCTCGGAGGAAGACAGAAGTTTTGGAAAAGGGGGAAAGTTGGATGGTCCAACTGGGAAACAACAGAGGGGGACTTTCTTCGCGAACAATCGCTGACCAGGACTCTCGCATTTCAGATCGGTTTCGGCTCCAACAAGAAGACCAAGTACATGATGCCCTCCGGCCACAAGGCCTTCCTCGTCAGCAACGTCAACGACGTCAACCTCCTGCTGATGCACAACCGCACCTACGCTGCCGAGTGCGTACCACCCAACCCCCAACAATGACCGACTTTGCGTCCCTCACGAACAGTCACTTCTAACACTTCTTTCAGGATCGCCCACAACGTCTCCTCGAGAAAGCGCATCGACATCATCTCCCGCGCCAAGCAGCTCGGCGTCAAGGTCACCAACCCCAAGGCCAAGGTCACCACCGAGGTCTAAGCGGAAGAACACTCCGTTTTGGTCGTTCGGATGGGGTCCTGTCTTTTCTGTGGAACATAGCAAATCCATTCTGGGGGAAAGGGGCGCGTGGGTCGACGAGGGGGGAAAGGGTTTACAGTTTACACTTTGCGTTGGTGTGCTCTCTACCCCTCTCGGTATTCTTGTCTTTTGCTTCTCCAGGGATATAACGGGGAACAAAAAGAGGAATAAAACAAAAGAACTTTGCATCGGATAACGGTCTACAACACTGCGATGATTCAGGAGGGTTCTGCTGCGAGGCCTGGCATGGCAAATCGGTTTACCGTTGTGCTAGGAATGAATACAAAAGAAAAAAACGCAGCAAATTTGTCAAACAGAGCCAAACGACCTTGATGCATTGCCTGGCGTGTCCTACGGCTTCGAGGGTGGTTCGGGACATTTTGGTACTTCATAATGGCGTTAGACGGCATGGAAAACAAGATTCTTACGCTCAATTCGAAAATGTCACCACCTTCCCAGTTGGTTGGTTGTTCTACGAGGATCATGTTTGCCAGCTTCCATGCGCAGTGACAAGTCGGCCTTTCGGCTGAGGAGACATCTGGGGTGTCTGCCAGATGGGTGTCTTCCAACGCCATGTCTTCATACCTCTGGCATTTCGCGAGATGACTCACGTTAAGCTGAATGCCTTGTGTTTCCTCTGGGCATGTCTGTCATTGGCGCCTCGTCAAGCATCAACAGTCGAGCCGGGGCCATAAGATAGAAGACTTCTGAGTTCGTTAACGGTTGGCTACACGTACTCCAACTTTTGCGAACTATATTGAGGCATGCTTCCCACCAGGGTGTCACATCGTGAGCTGGAAGGTGGTGTCGTTATTGAGGTTGGTTGTCAAATCATGCGATCCCCAAATTCCGGTCCCATCTCATGGCCAGGGGGGGCCTACCAAATCAAGACATCGCCCAACCATTATGCTATCAATGAAGAAAAGTATTTATTATCTACCTAGGCACGACTCTCGTCGTTCCGCCCAAAGCCATCCCGGCCAATCCAGTCGCGACGGCGGTGACCCAATAAGGACAGACAAGTCAGGAAACGCTCGCACTCCCAACCCAAAGGGCTCATAAAGCAAAACGCCGGTATCCATGATCTCATAAAAGGTAAAGTCGTTCGTCCATCATCCCAAGACTGTCGTCTGGGGAAATCAGGAGGCAAGAAGTAGGTAGGCAGGTCCCAGACCTGGTCGCGGTAGCGGTCGCACTTTCAGGGCAACGACACGCACACTTCATAGCTGCGTCGCCTCTACCTGAAGCAGTTGAAGCGACCGATGCGGAAGCGCCAAGGTCCGCGGCGGATGCCGTGGCGGTCTGCGTGGACGCTCGTGCCGAAGTTCTTGCCGCCGATGGGCTTGGAGTAGAAGAAAGGCATGTTGAAGGTGTGTTGGTGGGTTTTCTGGTAGAGAGTGTGTCAGTCCGAGCTTCTGGGAGGGGGCTCAAGCGTTCGCAAGTGAGGAACGTACGTTTTTGGATTTGCTGGTAGACGGTTGGTTTGCAGGAAAGCTTGTTGTGGTGAAGTGAGGTAGTTCAGACTTGGCTTGGAAAGTGTCAGTCGATGGAGGAGCCAAGAAGGAACGGGCGGCATATATACCTTCTTCCGGTCCTGCGTAGCGTGTGACGAGGGAGCCAAACGGGAGAAACTAACAGAATGACAAGCTCGCTTGCGTCCTTGATTGTGGTGGCACAGTGAGCTGCCTCTCCCTCGTCCAAAACCTGGTGGTGGTGGTATTGCCAAGAGCTTCTAAGTGATAGGTGACGTAGCGTGGCTGAGCGCGAGGGTGGCTGTGGCTGCGTGACGAAGGTTGGTCGCGGTGCTGCGTCGTTAGCCAATCAGAGATCGCTGAAGGCTCAGATGAGCGAGTGACGATGTGGGGCGTTGTGGCTGCGGGAGGGTCCGCCAGACAGAGGGGTCGGATGTGAATTTCAGTGGTTGGAGATCTTGGGGTGATCATGATCCGAAGTTAAGGTTACTCGAACCGCTTCTTTCGCTTCGCCAGCCATTCTACTTTTGTGCATCCGATTGCCGATTGGTTATACATCGTCCCTGAAGATTTCGGCGACAATAGCGGTCTCGTTCTTTGGACCCAGTCCACAGAGTCAAGGCACTGAAAACCAGAATCACCAAAGAGGTAGGCTCGTTTGGCTATGTCACCCGCTGCTTTGGGGCAAGTTGCGACAACACAACGCGAGAGAGCTCTCATTCGAGAGCAAGATAAGAAGTCCCTGAAGGCCTTCGATCATCAGTAAAGCATGCTGTCAGACATGATATGTCGTGAAGTAGACCAGCTGCATTGATTCAATTCAGTCCCAAACCCTCCAACTCCATGTCTTGATATACGTCGTTGACCATTGAAGAGTGAGGATATTCACATGTGGGCGGGTGTGGTTCACGAGGTATATCATGTACCCCGTCCCGAAAGCTTGCTCAACTCATGACCCCTCCTCAAACACTAAAGCCTCAGCAAGATCGATTAATCAACATGCCACTTTATCTTACAGCCGAATTCTTCGTCAGTTCAAATGATCGTCACAATGCCTAGCTATGCTGTCCATGTCCACGAGGATCGAAATGACCTTGAAAATCTCCTAGCACAGAAATATTGTCTGAAGGTCGCCATGTGCGTCCAGCCCAAAACGGCTGCTCGACCGTTTGTATTCGACGTTTTATATCAAAATGTCTCCTTATCCCCTAATATGCATGTCTTCTGGACCGGGCAATATGCGCTCAATTGGATCTCTCATGTCCCAGCAGGCGGGATACGGCTGGAAAATCTCAACGGAAACTGGCAACCGTGTCGTATTGGAGAGTCTTACTCCCTGCACAGGACTGGAGACTAGGATAAAGCTACTATCTCAGGGCTTCCGGAGAAGAATACGATTGAAGTTTCCGGAAACGACTATGGAAGCGTTCATATTGTTGTGGGTTTGCAAAGATCTGATGCTAGCGGAGACACCAGTTGGTTTCCAGTAAGTAGCCTTTGGTTATCAATTTCTACGGACACTTTCTCATGTAGGATCTTTCAGATCTTCGTTGATAGATCTGAACTTGCCAAGGGAGGGCATAGACGATATGAGCTGGACCAGAGGATCAAGGTGTGGTTCGGCACAAGTGAACCAGATTCAACAATGATGTCGTCAGCAGAACCTTTTTCCCCCAATGAATCGGCTCTTGAAAAGATTGCCTTCAATAAATCAGAGATTTGGGTGCGATTTGATACTATACGGAGAAAATGGGAGACTGTAAGCCCCTAATATAAACTTGGCGCAGAAGGACAAAAGGCTAGGCCGCCAAGATGTGATAGGTGATGTGTGGACGTTATTTCTTTTCAATATTCATGAATCTCTGCATCTTATTGAAGTTCGAACGGGGTAGAAAGGCCCAGTTTCACTATTGCGACGCAACACGGATGACGGGACTCGCCTTATGATCCATGCTACTA